CAGGTGCAATAAATTAATATTTTTAGACATTATTTAAAAAGAAAATAAAATTTTGATTATCTTAAATATTTTGTGGGGACAAATACCACACCCCATGATAATGTCCCAGGTTTTTGGCTGCTTTTGCTCTATATTTCTCAAATGGAATAATCTTGTAATATCATTTTCATAGAATTTTATTTTTTTCTGAATCAATCTGCCAATTTCAATTAGAAATTACTTACTGATACATTACTTGCTAGTTTCAATTTTATTTTATTCTGACTAAAAGCTAAAAGAGAGAAGAGACCTGGCTTCTGGTTCCGCATGTGTGTAACTAAGATTTATTAATTAAATTGGTTGTCCCCTAGACCCGGTTGTAAGTAGTAAAGCTTGAACAGAATCTTGAAACTATTCAAATTTTCATTTTCACATGACAGAGAACTTGCAAACACTAATACAATGAAACTGAAGGTGAGGGCTGTCTATTTTTATTTTTTTTGGGTACAATGAAGGCTGTCTATTTGGTTCAACAGAAGGACTATTTCATGATTTATACATTGGATATAAGCTAAGAAGGGAACAAACAGAAAAAAGTAACACAACTAGCGTTGAACCAAACATGACAGCAAATGAATTCTGTCTCGCCGTTTTAGTTTGGTGGGAACAGAATGTCACGGACGACTTGCTCTGCATCTTGCAAAAGCAGCTGTTCGGCAAAGCATCGATCGCGGCTTGTCTTCAAAAATTCTAGCTCATTTCCCTTCGCTTCAACAGCGGCTTCCATTTCCGCCCATTCCTCACTCATGTGGCTAGTTTTTTCCCTCTTCTCCGCTACCACCACCTCCAACAGGTGAATAAGAGTCTCTTCCATCTGTATACCCATCTCCGACTCCATCCGATGAAGGGTCTCCTCCACCTGTAGCTCCTGCTCCGCCTCAATCCCGTGGAGGGCCTCTTGCTCCTCCATCTGTAGTCCCACCTCCGCTTCCATCGGGTGAAGTGTCTGCTCCATCTGTAGCCCCTGCTCCGCCTCAATCCTGTGGAGGGCCAGGGTCTCCTCCATCTGTATACCCTTCTCCGCCTTCATCCGATGAAAGGCCTCTTCCTTCTCTTGGCCCTGCTCCTCTTGCATCGGATGAAGGTCCTCTTCCTTCTGTAGCCCCTTCTCTGCCTCCTTGGGCTGTAGCGCCTCCTCCATCTGTAGACCCTTCTCAGCCTCCATCATTTGTATGTCCTGCTGCTGAGTGCTGACCTGCTCTCAATCCATGCGAGCGGAGCATATTTATAGCCAAAAGTTTGCGTCTTGGTCGGTGCTGTTCGCCTGTATATCCCTGTGCTTTTCTAATAAACAGTGCTAGGGGCACACGCTTTAGCACTCTCCTTTGCAGAGTCACTCTCACACTAAAGCCGCGTAACCTTGACTTTTGAAACCAATTACTGGAAACGGGTAATAACCAGTAACCCAATAAACGAAAGAAGTGTGGGGGAAATTGCAATTTAATTTTATTCTCATCTTCCCTTGTTCATTACCCGTGCTTTTGTTCCCCTCGTTGGGACAGCCTAGAGGTAGTATTCTGATAATAGGTACCAGATATAGAAGGAATTAAGAAGGAAAAAATAGAATCGAGAATTAGAAGTAATGAAGGAGAAAAGGAAAAACACAGAAGAAAGTTAAGTGGATAAATTCGGTTAATTTCATTCATATCAAAATTATAATATAGTACACATTTATAGTACACATATAAAGGATAGAAACATCAACAGTTAATAAACTATAACAAAAATCTGACGCGAACTATTTAAGTAGTTTTTAAACTAATTTAATAATTAACAAACTCACTGCCAGGTCAGCATGCCACATAGGCGTTGTATCATATTCATGATTCGATATCACTCCTTTTGATCAGTTAATCTTTTTGGGGTCATTTATTAATTTTAAGATCGATTCAAGTTCTGGGTTTTTCCCTTTTCAATCATGTTAATTATTAGTTCTTTTCAAAGGGTTCAATTGTTCTCAAAAAAAGGTCCTCTTAATCGTTTTCATTTTAGGGTTAAAGCCAGCTGTCAGTCAGTTTTTTTTTTTCATTTTTTTCTGAAAAAAAAAGAAAGAGTAGCTGTACGTCTACCCACTATTATGTACAAAAGTTCGATCTAAGCCTTCTACTATGAAATTGCTCCAAGTCCTCCTACTCTATTTTCGGCTCAGGATGTCTTTCCTCTACTCTTTCAAAAGTGATCTATTTCGTGCCTTTCTCCATGTCATGGCTAACGGCTTCATTTTTTTACCGTTAAAACCACACAGCCAAACGTTTGGAGATTTTTATATTATTTTTTCTTTAAAAAAAGTTAAATCCAAAATTTGGCCCTCTTAATTTTGGGACCTAGTCCTTAAATTAAACAAAATTTTGTTTTAATTTTTAAAGTTAATTTTAAAATTTAGCTCTTTTTTAGTCTCAAAATAAAAATTTATTTAACTCAGAAGCCGAATCAAGGATTTGTATAAAAGTGCAAGACTAAAATTGAGGTTTAATCTAATGATAATTTGTTATTAAATAAGTTTTTAAGATTAATATGAAATATAAATTTTTTCTACATTAACAAATTTTATTGTGTGAACAATACTAGAAAACAATATATAATCGACAGAAATTTCTATCGATTATAGAGGAAATTCTGTTGATTATAGGTATAATCGATAGACATAATCAACAGCCAAAATTTGTAGAATAAATGGGGTCGAAAATAGTATAATCAATAGAAATGTCTTCTGTCGATTATACTTGTTCCAGCAATAAAAAAAAAATTAAAAATAAAAAAATGTAGAATTATTTTTAATTTTGTAGTTATTAATTAAATTATAAAGTCATTAAATAAAATTTAATGATAAAATCAATCAAGTGCAACAACAATATATATAAAATAATTTTGAGAATACTTAAAAAAACAAGAACAATATTCAAATATTATGAGAATTAATGGAAAAATAAGATAAATGATAAGTAATTTATCTATAATAAAATAAAAATATTTGTAAAAAGGAAAAAAAAAAAGCATCACTACTAGAAAATCGGGTATAATCGACAGAAAAAATTATCGATTGTAAGTTGTTTTTTGTCGGTTATAACTATAACCGACAAGCATAATCGACAACACTGTTTGTTGCATAAACTCGTGTCGAAAATCATTATAATCAACAAAATTTTTTTCTGTCGATTATATGTCTTTAATCGATAGAAATATTGTCGATTATAAATGGTACGGAGGAAATTGCAAAATACTAAGCAATATAATCAACAGCCAATTATGGTTTTTTTTTTTTACTTATATAATTGACAGCATTAGGCTATCGATTATATGCACTGTCACCCAAAAAAAAAATTTGGTGCAGAATCTAGCAGCATTGTGATTTTTATTTGTACTTATTTCTATTAGTCATATTACAAACAATCAACAGCTGAAATTCAAAGCAAAATCCAAGTCCCAGAAGAATAAGTATATATGAAATAATGTTAT